TTGGCACCAAATGTTCCTTTTAACATATAGGGCCTTTTGTTTTCTTGAGTTAGAACTTGAGCAATGTAGGAACAATATCACTCCTAACCATCTTTCAGCCATCAATTTTCTGTTAGTCTGGCATACTTGCCCACACACATAAACAACCTACTATCTTTACTTTACACGCATAACCAGTAATTCATGTTCACGTACTTCTAACTTAAAAATTTTTTATTTATCTTTACTAGATACCAAATGTAGTTTTTTGACATAGAGGGCCTTCCATACTTAAGTTTTAAGTTGAGTACTACACGAACACCACATTACAATCACATTCTTATCATATTTACATTTCAGCTCAACAACATATCTAAACACACCTCCACCTACTACATCAATACTCAATAATAAATCTTTTAGGACCCATCTTCCCACATGTGCCTTTTTACCATTTTCTAGGTACCAAATGTCTCACAACATACAGAGCCTTTTGACAAAATCTTTAGCTTAAAATAAATAGATCCTTACACATGTATAGTTGGTTGCCTATCAATCCTACAAAATTTCACAAATTCCAGTTGACCCACATTAATTTTTAAAAAACCAATTTTCAATGTTTCAAATATAGCTATTTGATTAATTTACAATACAGATTACAATATTGATGGTTGATACTGTTACATTATAATAATTTTAACTTTTTCAATTTTAAATAAGGCTGACATCTGTCATTTTTAGACAACTACCGTAAGTTACACTGACTGCTCTGACACAACATCCGTCCTAAAATGTCAACAATGTCATTTTGATCAGTTGTTATCAACAGGCCCTCGTAGACACTTCGTCTCATGACCATTTTGCTCATGTAGAGTCATACGCCGCCATGTTACCTATCCAACGGTAACTTAAACATCACAAATTATAACTACTAATAATGTAAAACAACTACAAATTTAAAACATTTAAAGGGTTTTGACCCACATATTTTGGTGGCTACTAGCAAGTACAACCGTAAGTATTAACCACATTTTGCTCTAACCTTTGTCAACATTTTAATTTAACGTTCTTTTTAATTAAAGTGGTTATATACTTTCAAGTTTGCACTGATGATGGATTGTTTAATCCGAAAACGTTTTGCAATGTGTTTGTGATAGCCCGTTTGGGGCATTTTTATATACCTTTTATAAAGGATTTTAAACAAAATTTTTTTAATAAAAGAAAAAGTAGGCATCCACTTTAGAAAATTTACACTGATTTTGATGAGAAAAATAATTTTTAGATCGCGACACTTCCATTTTAGCTACCGAGAAGATAAGTCGTGAGGGTCTGAACCAAAAAAGTCGTTTCTGTATTTCGCCACAATTGACTACGTTGCCCGTAAAAAATGGAAACAATACTATCAGAGTTAAGTATTACAAACATTTAAGAATACCTTGTATAATTTTAATAGATGCAATAGTAGCTAAGCAGAAATTAAATTAAATTACGAATTCGAGATATTTCTTTCAATTGGTTCCAATCTTACTTGAGGAATAGGAAACAACTAGTTAAAGCAAAGCAATACTGACTCTAGTCACAAAAGCATTGTATTTGGAGTGCCACAAGATTCAGTTCTGGTTCCTCTACTTTTCCTTATCTTTATAAATGACATCACTAACTTAAAAATCGAGGGAAAAATTTTTCTTTTTGCTTATGATACCAGTATTATCTCGAAGACCTCTAATATTGCAACTCTTCATACAATTATAACTTCTGTTCTACTTAAAATAAAACCTGGTCCGACTCTAACGTGAATAAGACAGTAGCATTATCCTATAAAGGAGCTCTTCAACCCTTGCTTCTTAATAACAGCCAGATCAGTATAATTGGTTCTGTCAAATTTCTTGGTATTTTTATAGACAGCAACCTTAAATGGTCTCTTCATATCGATTTCTTAAATAAGAATCTAGCCTCAGCCTGCTATGCAATAAGATCTGTTTCGAAGGAAATGAATTTAACATCTTCCAAAATAACATACTTTTCTTTGTTTGAGTCTCATCTTCAATATGGCCTTCCTTTTTGGGATCCTATTCTCTGTTCACAAATTGTTGATAGCACGAAATATGCCTCAAAATCATCAAACGGTCGTAAAATTTGTATCATCATAGGCGTTCCTGAGGTGTTTATTCATTAAAATTAATATTAATATTAATAATGTTTTAATACTGATATATTTAGTAAAAAACAATTAAAACTTTCACGGCTAATGTTGGTTATTATATTATATTAATAAAAATAATAATTTAACCATTAACAATTTTGTAAATAAGAATACCTTATCTCTTTGGATATTTCAATACTAATCTTCGCGTTTAATCACTTTACTAGAAAACCTGGTATTTATATCCGAAGGTACTATCGGTTGCAAGATAATTAGGATGGAATTCCCCAGATTTTTAATAATATAATGGGTATAGATGCCGGATTTGGCCACGTACCTCGTCTGTTTAGTTTATATTCGAAACTTAACTTAAAAGGGTGAAGTTATTACGAACGAAAACAATTTGTTTGTTTATTACGTTTTTGATCACATGTAATGCGTATATATACATATGCAGTGCGTGAGTGATTTTTTATTCCATATATCTACGAACATATAGACCTATATAGACCTATATTCTACGTACCTTTCGCTCGTGCTCGTTTTGTTGGATTGTTTGTGATGGCTTCATCATCAACATCATCAAGTTTTACACCGTTACTGTTGCGTACAGTCAGTAAGTCTGTCTATTCACCAAGAGAGAAGACTATTGTCCTGAATGTTCACGATGCTCTGGTTTCTCAGAATCCCACAAACACTGTTCGCAACATAGTCGAAAGTTGTGCCAACATGACTGGCGTAGGGGAGTCAACTATATATAGGTTCCTATCAGAAAGAAAAAAACACGGTATAGCAAACCCAAACACAAACGAACACTTAAAGAGAGGGAAAAAGCCTATTGAACTTGATGAATTTGCCAAAAATGGTATTCGAAAGAAAATTCATGGATTTTTTTCAAAAAAGAAATACCAAACCTAAATAAAATTTTACAAGAAGTTAGAGATGATCCGGATTTGCCTGATATCGGACGAACTAAATTGTGGCAAGTTTTAAAAGAATTAAATTTCCGGTGGGAGAAATCAGACCGAAAATCACTTTTGATTGACCGGGAGGAGATAATATGTTGGAGAAGAAATTATCTAAGATCCATACGAAAATTCCGGGCTGAAAGAAGGCCAATCTTCTACCAGGATGAATTTTGGGTAAACTCAGGTCATACTCTAAAAAAAGTTTGGTCAGATAAAAATATATTAAGCTCCAGGCAAGCCTTTATGGAAGGTTGGTCTACTGGTATCTCCCCACCTTCTGGTAAAGGCAGTAGATTAATAATTTCTCACATTGGCAGTGAAAAAGAATTTGTTAAGCATGGTTTGTTGGAATTTAAGTCCAAAAGCACAAAAGACTATCACGAGGAGATGACAGCTGATGTTTTCGAAGAGTATTCTGTGCAGATGATTGAACACATACCACCAAATTCAATTATAGTATTAGATAATGCACCTTATCATTAACGACTAGTAGAAAGACTTCCAACGACTGCGTGGAAAAAACAGGATATTATTGACTGGCTGCGGAATAAGTACCTGCCTTACGAAGATGGAATGGTAAAAGCAGAACTTTTAAAAATTGCCCGGCAATACAAATCTAAGTTCAAGAAATACGTAGTTGACAAAACGGCGGAAAGGAGAAACATCACAGTCCTTAGACTTCCACCCTACCACTGCGAAATAAATCCAATTGAACTCATTTGGGCACAAATGAAAAGTTATGTGGCTAGAAAAAATACGTCATATAAAATACAAGCTGTACGTGAATTGTTATACGAGTCTTTACAACCCATTACAGAACAAAACTGGAAATATGCAGTAAGACATGTAATAGAAGAAGAATAAAAATGTGGGATCTTGATAACATAATTGAAGCGACCGTAGAGACACAACCGCTAATTATTAACCCTCAAGACGACTCGGATTCCGAAGTTGATCCTATTTATTTTGAATTTGAATAGTTTTCTAATCGTAATTATATAAGGTAAGTGATAGTAGTTGTAATCTTAAGGTATTAAAGGGGAAAGGCGCAAAACGTCGCCTGTCAAAATATTCAATGTGTTTTAAATGTATCGATTTTTTTTTCAAATTCTGAGAAAACTAAAAAGCCTTTTTGGAAAAATTTAAAGGCAGAATAAAATATTTATTAGAATAAATAAAAAGTAAAATTGATCATGATGATTTTATACCATGAAACAGTAGTGCTTTTAAATATAATATGGTCAATCTAAACCCTCACTAATTCGGTTAGTTTTTCGAATTTGTACAAAGGGGTGAGATTGATCATGCGGGGTGAGAATGTTCTATTGTTATTGTACTATTCTTATTTTATACAAAAAAAAACCTATTTTAACAACCAAAAATGTAATTCAGAACACTTTATAAAAAAAAAAAATTTGATTTAACATTCTTTTATATTAATTTCTCCGCGAAAATGATTATTTTGTATTCTATCAGAAATCGTCTCAATTGTCGGATCTGGTAGTAAAGCAACTATTTCCTTGAAGGGAACAGTGGATATGTATCATTTAGCAGTAAGTCAGTGAGAATCCATGTTTGCCCAAGTAAACTTAATAGACAAAAATTAATAGACCATCTATTATTATTATATGATGCAAAATACAGAAAAATATAATGCTAAAAACTATTAACTGTATTTAATAAATCACACAATCACTAAACTGTGTTAAGTTTTAAAGTAAAAATATTCCTTTCCTACTTATTATTTTTTATTATTTTTTTTTATTATATACCTATTATTTTTTCAGATTTAGATTTTAGATATACCCACATACATGACAACGCTGTAATAAGCAATACTCAACCAATTACAACACAATGTGATAAACCGTCAGCGACAGGGTCAGGGTCGCCTTCAATCTTCAAATGAACAGCCTTGAGCCTACCTGTTTGTCTATCATTTTACTTCTGTGTGATGGTCTGATGTCTATTCTATATAGACCGGTCGCGCAAAAATTTTAATTTTAATCTTTTGAGTGTTTGAATACTTATTCAACAAAACAGTGGAATTCTTGTTACCGCATCAAAGTTTTGGCGTTTTGATATAATAATGGAATTATCCATTTTAGGTAAGTTATTTTTTATTGTTATGTACCTATATAAATATAAACAGATTAAAAATAGGTAACTATTTTAAGTATGTATTGATGTACTGTACAAAAGAGCATTTTTCGAGTGTTGTGACTTTACAGATAATAATTTATATTCAGTGTATAACTACATAAAATATGTAGGTATTTGATTTTTACAATATTTATTTACAACACATGACAATAAAAATGATTTAAAATTTATGTTTTATTACATGGATGCATATTGTTTAATTCTTGTTATTTTCATACATACAGATTATTAAACCCTACTTTTAGTAAACTTGTACCTACCTATATCTCTGGGATTCATTCACTAAGGCGAACATATTCAAGATTAAGAATATAAGTTTAGTGTAGAAATTTTTGTTTTTGATACCAGAGGTACTGTTTCGACTAAAGAAAATTCTGGTGATTTCGTATAATTTGTATTCCAATTTCCGAATTTTCAGTGCACTTTTGTCATTTATATCGAATATTTTTTATACATTACGCTTTCAATGTCAAGAAAAATCGTGACGAAGTCTTAGTACTATTTTTTAGCGATCGTGGTTTGCTAATGCGTATTCTGACAAACCATGATTTTTGCGTTAGACTTCTTTCACGTGTTTTTGGGTAGTGGTGCTGTCCAAACAGTCCAATTGTCCATCCCTAATTTTAAAATGGGTCGATTACGACTTAGCTGTTCTCTTCACTGAGTTGCCTTGTCCTTCATCCTTCTTTCTGTTGCGTTTTAATAATATGTGCTGTCTCTGTCTGCTGGCTCTTATCCACAATAATTTACCGGTTCGGTACTAGTGTAATAAGCCGGAACCATGTTTACGGAGATGAAATTTATATTAATGAATTCTGCTTCACTTACTAATGATTGTGCAATGACTTTTATGCGGTGCAAGACGTTATTTTTTATGTAATTTCCATTTAAAATATGCCCGATTTTTAAAAGCCGCCGCCATTATTCGCCATTATTTACCATGAAACAACAATAAATGACAGGAATGACAACTGTTTCTTATGGTCAAAATGGTAATTTTAACCAGTGTTGCCATAGTTATTCAAAATTATGTTTTCTAATGAATTTCAAATTAGACATTAAAATAACATTTTTTATTACCTACTTTTAACTGAAAATTAACCTTTTTTACAAGGGTCAGGTTAGGTTTGGTTACGTTTCTTTACGTTTATTATCATCTTTTCTCATGAAAAATAAAAAATTTGATTTTTAATTATATTACAAAATTTTATTCTTATTACTGTTTTTTACTAGCGTTGGGTTAGGTTAGGTTAGGTTGGTTTAGTTTTATTGCCATGTTTTCTTATTGGGTTAGATTTGGTTTATTGGTTTGCATTTTTAATAATAAAATATAAAGAAAAATATGAAATTAAAACTGACAACAATGTCAAATGTAGATAAAATTTAACTTCTTGCGCATGGCCGCCATATTGTTTAGAAATATTAAAAATCTTGATTATTTTAAACAATTTTACGCATTTTTTCATAATTTTACAGTAAAAATAGTGATATTTAATACGTTTTAGTTACGTTTTTTTATTATGACATGTATATATACTTTTCTTTGCTTTTTATGTAATTTTTTTTTTGGTTAATAATACTTTTTTTGGTATTTTTTCCGATTTTTTTGATTATTTGGGCACTTTTAATAGTTTAAAGCAAAGAAAACATTAAAATTTGAGGGTTTTTTCACTTTTTCGGCTAATTCCACAAAAAATTGGGCATTTTTAAGGCGTTCCGGCTTAGTAAATAATTACCCATTTTTATTGTTTTTCGGCTATCGTATTCATTATTGTGTTCTTTACTTTCATTCTCTCTCTTATGTTTTCATTTCTTATGTGGTCACACAAAGTTAACCCGGAACATCTTCTCCAGTACATCATTTCCGTTGAGAGGAGTTTTTGTGACATATTATTGTTAAATACCCACACTTCTGACCCATACGTCAGCACCGGCTGAATCATAGCCTGATATATATTTTTCTTTGTTTTCTTAGTTAAAGTTTTATTCCACAGGATCGGATGTAGTGTTTTTATCATGTTTTTTCCTTTTCCTATTTTTCTTGTTATATCTTTGTCGTCTCTCCCGTCTTCGCTTAGTATAACTCCGAGATATTCGTACTGATCAACGTTTTTAATTAATCCGCTTTCTGTTTCCATGTCTTGACCGATGCCTCCTATATTCATGTATTGTGTCTTTTCGGTATTAACCTCTAATCCCCATTTTTTGAATTCGTCTATTAGTTTGTTTATCATGTACGTCATATTTTGTAGGTCCTCGGCAAGAACTACCTGGTCGTCTGCGAAGAGGATTGTGTATATAGGAGTGTCATTTACCCATATGCCCATTGGGCTGCATTTTCTCATCCAATGTTTTAAAGCATTACCAAGATATATTTTAAACAGGGTTGGAGAGAGGCAAGAGCCCTGTTTGACACCCTTTGTTTGGGTGAAACCCTTGGAAATTTGGTTTCCAACCTTAATATAAGCTTGGTTATCTTGATATAGCTTTTTCACGGCATTTATATATACTGCATTTATACCTGCGTTTTCCAATGTTGTCCATAGTCTCTGCAGTGGTACGGAGTCAAACGCTTTACGGAGATCTATAAAAGTGGCATGAAGTTCTAGTCCTCTTGCTAATCTCTTCTTCGTTAGGTGTTTGAGAGTAAATACATTGTCGACACAAGATCTCCCTGGTCGGAATCTTTATTATTCTTTACTATTTATTATTCCAATCATTGGGGAAGGATTTCTGTATCCATATTTCTTTTATAAGCTGCTGTAATGCCGTTATCGTATCATGGTCACCTTCTTTATATAGTTCAGCTAAGAAATTAACTATTCCGGGTGGTTTGTTTCTGGCTAGTTTTTGACTTAATCTTTAATTTCAAGAATCGTTGGTGGTTCCTCTTTTCTCTAGTTAAAATGTTCCACCCATATATTCAATACATTTTTGCTTGATGTTTATAGGTCGCCATTCTGACCTCTGCATTGTCTTGTGGTTGCCTTAAATTCTTTTCTGTTGACCTAAACAGTTAACTTTTGGCCTGAACCTTTTACATTATGCAGTTATTTTTCATTTAAAATCGGTTCAGGATATAACGGTAAACCTAGTAAAAAGGTTGCAGCCGTTAAAAAATAGATCAAACACCAAAATTTACCCTACAGCAATGTGATTTTCTTTTGGGGTTGGTTACCGCCCCCACTCGGGAGTGAAAAAGTTATTTAAAAAACCCTGTTAATCTCTAGAATAGTGAATTCTAAGACAAAAATTTCCTTTAGAGCTTTTTTGAGATATTTTTGGCGTTATTAGTGACTGAAAATTCCTGTTTTTAAACAATTTTTCGCTAATAATGCTCCAGTTGTCAGAGACGAAAATGCCACTGAACCTCTAAGAGTCATACGGACAAGCTGCAGACATGCAATTAAGAATGTTAATTTTGGGACCCCAAAAATGACGCTAAAAGTTTACCACGATTACCCTTCGGCTCGAAGGTTTAAGCGATCGGTGCTTTTGCATTTTTTGTAGCAGTTTTTGTATGCAATTTTCCAATTTTGTCGAAAATGCAGTCAGTTGCTATAAAGGTAATAAATAAATAAAAGTTTAACGATTTTTGCCGTTTCTTATGATTCTCATGAGATCAATAAAATGTATCACTTCCATTAATCGATCACTATGGAATTTATTACTAGAGCCTAATCTTCAAAACAGATTACCGGATATTTCGGTTTTTGAGTTTAAACAACAAATGTGAGGGATTTGAAATATGACTAGAAAACGCTAAATTTAAACTTTCACCTTACAAACTACTGAGTTCGGGTTTTCGCATCTTAACAATACTGCCCGGTTCCAATTTGCCTTTAATGGTCTAAATGCAGCAATATCTGCAGGTTGTATAATTCTGGTCGCATTGGGATATAATGCCACTAAAATAATTTGAAACTTGAACATAATTCACTGGTTTAAATGGTTAAGTGAGTTTTATGTCCTTCACCAAACAAAATTAATGAAAATTTAGTTTTTTTTAACTAGGTACTTATATAAGACGTTTCCTATGTATTCATAGTTTTCATTCTTCATCAATCTCGTATAGCTATATCCTATGCTCGTGGAACGAAATTTTCTTCGATTTTAGCCTCAACTGACGTTGTCTGACCATCTTTTCCTCGGTCGTCCCAATGATCTTCTTCCATTTGGCGATTTGTCTCTTGCTATTTGTACTATTCTATTTTCTGTCATTGGTTTCGTTTATAAAGGTAAATAATTACTGGTGCTGTTATTTCGCCAGATGCAGCAAAGGTAAACATAATCGTCAAATTAACTTTAGAGTGATGCTCTATTTGATATACATTTTTTGCTTCCCTTTACAGTCAACACACCAGTTTATTTTTGGGACACAAGAGGAACCAGGTTTCATCGCCATTTAAAACACGTGAAGGGTCCTGCAGAATATCAATGTAACCTTTACAATGCAAGTATTCTTGAACACCGGTGAACCATTTTTTATATCTTTTCAGACACAACTGAAAACCGCTTTTGTAGTTCTCTCACTTAAATCTGGGTGTCGCTTTAAAAAGTATCTATACCAAAATCTTCCGGGCCGACTGTGAGTAAAAGGATCGGCACGTGGATTTGCCTCAAGAAAACCTTTAACCCAGTATTGTATATCCTCCACTCTTACTGGAAAATCTTTGTCTTGGCATGTTATGATCCAATTCTTTAAACGATTCTCTTCCTCCAAACAAAGAATAGGATTGGGACCAAGGGTAGTTTTTTCATTAAATTGTTCGTTTGCTCTAAACTGCAGTGTTGCTATTGACATATTACATTGTTCAACGGCATTTCGTTGGTTCATGCCAGTTTCTATAGCCTGAAAAGCAGGCTGAAGATCTTCAATGATCTTCTTCTTCTTGTTTTATATATTGTTTGTGATACGTATTATCTTTCCGGATATGTGGCATTT